ATTTGGACGCCTTTATCGGCCAGCCCGTTTGAACGTGGGAACCGAGGACTTGATGTTGTATGCTGGAAATCATAGAGAGAAGAAAACATCTTAAATTCTTTTGACGAGAATTGTGGACCATTATCTGAGCACACTTCGATGGGTAGACCGTGCCTCGCAAATGTGGCACTTAATTTCTGAACTACAGTTCGCGCTGTAGTGTCATCAAGTGGCTCAACTTCGAGGAAGTTTGAGTGTGCGTCATACGTAACCAAATATGGCTTGCCTGCATATTCAAATAGGTCTACGCCAACCCGCGTCCAGGGATTAGAAGGAGTCTCACGCATTAGCAGTGGCTCACTAGGTTGAGAATAAGCATGTCGCTGACAGATGCTACATCTACCGACCATAGACTCTATGTCCGCATTTAGGCCGGGCCAAAAAACAAGGCGACGAGCTTTGGCTTTGCATTTAGAAATTCCTTGGTGACCATCATGAATGCGCTTTAACATTTCAGATCGCATCGACCGAGGAACGACTACTCGTTCTTCTTTAAACACAATGCCTTTAAGAACAGACAGCTCTGGTGTCATGTGTCGAAAAACGCCATCGATCGTTTTGTTGTTAGTGATTGCTGTAACCACCTTCTGCAGTACAGGATCTTGTGCAGTTGCTTCCTGCAGCCTTTTGACGGTCGTTAGCGACACTCTGTCGAAGAGTATATTGGTGGCATGTATCTCCACATCGTCCGAAACATCCTCGTTGCTTGTTGTTTTTGGGGCTCTGGACAGCGTATCGGCCAATATCAGATCCTTTCCTGGAACAAACTGGAGATTGAAGTCGTATCTTAGCAGGCGAAGAAAAAAACGTTGAAGTCTGGGTGGCATCTCCCCCAACGCCTTGCTGGCGATCTGAATGAGCGGCTTATGATCAGTTTCGGCTGTAAACTTGATGCCATAAACAAACGGGTGAAATTTCTCGCAACCAAAGGTTAGGGCAAGGGTCTCTTTTTCAATCTGTGAATATCGGGACTCGGCATCTGTCGGAACTCGGGAAGCGTAGGCAGTTGGTCGCCACTCTTTACCATGACACTGAAGCAGCACCGAACCTATTCCAAATCTGGATGCATCCGAAGACACCTTGGTGGGCTTCATTGGGTCGAAAATTGCCAATTGGGGATGTTGTGATAGGGACTCTTTTAGTTCTTCAAATTGTTTTTGGTGACTTGGAAGCCATTCAAATATAACGTCCTGTCTTGTCAGCTCTCTGAGTACTTTTGTATTTTCTGCTACGTGTGGTAAGTATTTGCTGAAGTAATTAATCATGCCTAAGAGACGCTGGACCGCTTTCTTGTCTTCAGGCGCCGGCATGTCCAACAAACTGCTGATTAACGCAGGGCTGGGCTTGATGCCCTCGGAGCTGATCACGTCGCCCAGATAAGTGACTTCTGTTTGGGAAATTTTGCATTGTTCTGCGTTGAACGTTAGCCCGGCAAGCTGGGCTACTTCCAATGTCGTCCTTAATCGAATGTCGTGCTCCTCTTGGGTGCGGCCCCAAATCAAAAGATCATCAATATACACATGCACTCCTTGAAGTCCCTCGAAAATTTCGCTTAGTGTTTTTTGAAATACTTCGGGTGCCGATGAAATACCAAAAGGAAGGCGCAAGTAGCGGTATCTGCCAAATGGTGTAGCGAACGTGCAAATTTTTTATGTTTCTTCGTCCAGGGGGATCTGATGAAAACCTGCTTTGGCATCTAATGTTGTAAAGAACTTCGCTCCTGCTAGTTCTGCCTCTATGTCTTCTCTGCGAGGCAGCTGATAGTGCTCGCGTTTAATGCTTTCATTTACCCTTCTGGGGTCCATGCATACACGTAGACTTCCATCTTTTTTCTTAACAATTACGAGAGAACTCACCCAGTCAGTTGGTTCGTCGATTCGCTGGATGATTCCTGCTTTTTCCATCCGTCGGAGTTCAGTGCGGAGGGGCTCCCGTAGCGCCAGGGGCACTCGTCGAGCAGGCTGCACGGATGGCTGGGCATCTTCCCGAAGAACCATATGGTAATGGCGCTTCACACATCCGGTTCCCACAAAAACTCTGGAAAACTCGTCTGCAAAAGATGGTTTTGCGTGGACGGTACATACGTGCGACACTAGTCCAAACACCTCACTTGCCTCTAGTCCTAGAAGTGGCTGGCGACCATTCTTCACAACGAAGAAATCGACGTACGCTTCTTTTCCGTTGATCTTGAGCCGAAGTCTCGTCATGCCGAAGTGTTTTATCAATCCGCCATCGTAACTACGAAGTGCAGCTCGATTGGGCTTTAACTCTGGTGCTTTGTGCTGCTTAGCGTACAGTGAATAAGGCAGCAAGTTTGCCTGAGACCCCGTATCCACTTTGAGCATGATTTGCCCTCCTCCCGCGATTGAAGCGCGTACGATCCAGTCTGCCTGACTTTGTGAACTCTTGACGCCAACATTCAGAATATCAAAGTCATCATTCTCAGACAGCTGTCTGCTGTATTCACCGTTGCTGTTCTTGCTTATACAGCAGTTCTGCGTCTCTGCCACTTGCCGACCCGCCAGACAGCACGCAGCAAAATGATTGCTTTTTCCGCAGTTGTGGCAGGTTTTCCCTGAGGCGGGACACCGTTGAAAGTCGTGAACGAAATTGCAACGACCACAGCGGTTCCTCGACTTGTTCCGCATCTGTCCTGCATTTGTTCTTCTGACTGCATCTGCCTGCTTCTCATCTGTTTCCCAGGCTTGATTTTGTTTTTCTGAAACTTCTGCAGCTTGGCATATTCGTATCGCTTTATCAAGCGTGAGGTTAGCTTCCCGTAGGAGCTTTGTTCGCAATTTTTTTTTCAGAAATTCCAAAAACGATTTGGTCCCGCAGCATCGAATCTGTAATGCTTCCGAAATTGCACGACTGGAGTTTGGTTTTTAAGCCTCGGAGGAACTGTTCAAAAGGCTCACCTTCTTGTTGCTGCGTGACTCTGAAGACATACCGCTCGTAGGTCTCATTCTTCCGTGGAATGCAGTAGGCTTCAAACTTTTGCACCAGGGTCGTGTACAATTCTTTGTCCTCTTCGTCGAGAAATACGAAGTTGTTGTAGACCTCGATCGCTTCTTCTCCGGCGACATGGAGTAGCAAGGCCGCCTTTTCGTCTTCCTTCTTCTTCGCAAAACCCGTGGCTTTCAGGTACCACTCCAGCCTTTGCTTGAACTTGATCCAGTTCTGCTCGAGGTTGCCCGAGAGTCGCAGTGGCTCGGGAGGTTTCAGCGTATCCATTTCGGTCGTCGGAAGCGCTAAGCCTAATTGTTCCAAGATCCTGTCGGCTGCGCCATGGCTCGAGCGCAAGCAGTGATCACACCAGTCGTGCGATACATTCTGTTTAATCTGCCATCGTGCAGGCCCTTTTATAGCCGAACCCAGGTGGCAGGTCCAGCCAGCAGTGACGTCATGTGATGTCATAACCGATACACCCAGAACATGCTTCAGTGGCGCCCTCTCGAGCCGACGACACGGAGTGCGGCAGCCGTGAGCGCTCGCTGAGCTCACTAGTTCACGGCCACTCAAGAGGCCAACGACGTCATGAAGGAGGTTATTTTTTGCTTGTTTTTGTAATCTTAAATTGCCTATAACTTTTTTTTAAAATAAAACGATATTCGAGAAAAAAACAAGTTTCATTAAGTTACTACGTTCAGTGCGCTCGGGTTCGGTGCAAATTAAAAACCAGTAAAAAGGTCCTTGCAGATGCAGGGATTGGTGTTCCACGCGCCCCACACGCTCACGCCTTCCCTGTATAAAAGATTCGAAGTAAATAACTGCAAGGATGCAATTTGTTTTAGGAATTTGCTTTATAAACGTTACTATACTGCCGAGGCTAGCATCTGCGGCGCGTGGAACACCCATCTCTGCATTCCTCTTGATGCTTGGGTAATTTAGCAATAGGTCTACATACCCTTTGCAAAATTACCCAAGTACGAAGGAGCATGCACGCGCTGTACGTGCTGGCTTCTGATGTAGCAACTATTCTAAACAAAAGTCTAAAACAAATTTCACCTCGCACGCGCGTTCGTCACAGAATTAGTTTGGTTATTTACGTCGAATCTTTTATACGGGGAAGGCGAGCGCGTGTGGCGCGCAGAATTACATTCCCAGCATTTTCCTTGATGCTTGGGCAATTTAGCAATAGGTATATTTTCACTGGAGCCGAAGCATGCGTTTTTCATGTTATAAAGAAGGTTTTACACGCAGTTCTTATATGCTGGCCAACCTGTCAGTGTGCCGCCCAACGTCACGTGCCACCCGCCTCTTACTGCTCACTTCTTCCTTATCGCCTCTAGCATTGAACGTCGTCGTCCTCTGTCGTACTTGGAAGGAAATTTCAATGAGGCTTACCTTGGCTTCAAACACCCAAACACTGAACAATTTCCCACGCAAGGGTTGGTTCAGTTTTGCCTTACCCATTATCGTTACAGCGAGCAAAAAAAGAAGAAAAAGAAAACGCAAATGTATGCCGCGCTGCTACAGTGTACTAGAATGCGGGGCAGTATTGGGACTGGAGCGGCTCGCGTGAGGCGTGTGGTGTAGATCGCGGTAGGTGCCGACACCGGCGCATGGGCAGTAGGGTCAGTATGGTGGTGCGGCGTGCGACGTGCGGCGTGCGGCGGCACCTGCGGAATGCAGCGATTTTCTACCGCCCTGTCAACTGCGGCGCCGCGATTGTTACACGCGCAGATCACAAGCTCCCATTGCCGAGCTGCGCCGGTCCAAACACTACCCCGTATTCTAGTACACTGTAGTCTCATAGCGCTATTTTCCCTTAATCACTCATGTACAACTACCGACTATAGCTCAACTACCTACCTTGTTACATATGTATATGAAGCAAACACGCTTCACCCATATGGTTGAAGGCGTGCCAGCGAACACTGCGTCTTTTATGTATACGTCAGCGTGACTCCAACTGCTTAACGTTTCGCTCAAAATACGACAAAATACCAACCACGGTGTAGGGAAACTATCAAAACGCAATTCTTTATTTGGGCTACTCGCACAAGCTTTACACAATGTTAGAAGCATTGTACGCTTTATTCGCGTCGCGACCTTTGTCGGTATACCCTTGGCGTGCTGCCAGCCTTCTCGGAAGAGGCACGTAACGAGCAACCTCTCAGTTTCCTAGTTTCAGCAGTCCACCGCGACGGCCTCGATTTCCACACGGGCGTCCTGGTTTAAAAAAACAGATGAGAGTTAGTGACCTCGATCGCCTTTGAAGAACGAGAGAAATCTACAGTGCGAGGTGGTATCAAGACGCTGACCTCGAGTTCTGTTAGCTACAATCCGGCGAAATTTCGATACTCACTGATCTGCCTCAAAACTAAAACATAAATCCCGATACTTTTTTTTTTTCGTAGTTATTGAATTTCTTTTATTTATTGCTTGATTGATTGTTTTTTCTTTAGAGAGGCCCACGCATCATGCTGCAACACTGAAAACGTGATGTCAAATGTTAGGTTAGGTGGCGCAAGCTACCGCCAGGTATAAAGGGTACAGCCGTTAGCATCCATCCATTCATGTTGTAACCATATCGTTCGATTTACCTGCACCTCCTCCACCGACGCAGAAAAGTGTAAGGTGGTGCACTTCCGGTCGTATCTCAATATACATACCGGAAGTATACTGCCCTGCACTTTTCTGCACCGGTGAAGGAGGTGCAGGTCAGTGCCACTTATTAAGCTACGCTTCAGAGTAACGACACTTGGCCATACTGTGGCTTAAAATCATGGTTGCCAGTTATCTGAAGCTTTATCTGAAATCACAGGAAACGCTCTTCCATCCTCCACGAATGTTTAAACAGTTCGCGACAAAGCAAAGCAATATTACATGAGCTTCCCAACACCGAATCTAATGCTGAGGAAGTTGCACTTTTTAATCATGACGTCTGCTCTGCACAGGCACGAAAATGGCGGCGCCCACGACAATGTCGGGGAACGAAGTTTCGATACTCTAAGCGCAGCTCATTTAGTGGCTCTAGCACAGGTAAATCGAAAGAAGCTAATGTGCGCTAGAGCTTGAACTGGCGCTAGTGTCTATGGGACTTCCGGTTTCAAATGGAATCAGACAGCAACCAGTCCACTTTTGCGGTGCTCCTGCGCATTCATATGGGAAAACACGCCTGCATTTTGTCTCTTCGTCGGGGAACAATAAAATTGAGTTTGTTGCTTGGGTCGTAGTGGATAGTAGGCAACTCTATTAACATAATAACAGTGAAATCGGAAAAAGACTAGTCTTTTTCCGATCAGTGAGCGATGTTTAACTTCCAAGCATGCCGGGTCCAGTTCTATGTTCCAAAGCAAGCGTGTAAAGACCAGTAGCGGATCAAGCAAGAAAAACAGTCGGAAAAAGCGTAGGATTTGTTTACGAAGCGCCGACATTCCGGTGAAAGTAACACTCATCATCTGCAAGATATATATGCCACTTCCCATTTACCCCCATTTACGAGCGGTTAAAACACGTAAAACAGTAAAAGTACGCACACAATAAAAGGCGTTTCTCTTTTTATTATTGTGCTGAATTTGTCGGAAGGTAAGAGTTTTCTGGCTTTTTCCCCATTTTAGAAGTTTTCGAGCATGCAGATGTGAGCTTTGAACGCCAGAACAAACTTTCCACCCATACATGAGCAGTAGAGTGAATAGAACGAATTTAATTTATTTTAAATCGCACTCTTTGCTTGGCTTTACTTTATTTTGATCGTTTACATGCACAGGTAGGTACTGATCCACTGTTAGCGGATAGTTCTTGATGTCTCTCTGGAATTTTATAGATGTCTTTCATTGCTTTGGCATGTAAACCCCCCTGGAGAAAAGCGCCGATGCCGTGTTCGCGCGAACAGTGTCGGGCAGTGTACATAAATACATGTACGAGGCCATTTTAGCACCGTATTTAATGCCCTGAATTAAAAAAAAACAAACGCCGTAACTGACCAATATTTTTGTTTACGTGATTGAAAAATGTTCCAAGCTAGCTAGCTAGTAAGAATTATTCGTGATATTTGCTCTTATGATCAAGCGCAGGGAGAAAATGCACTCACTTTTTCCATAGAAATGCACTACCAGAAGTCAATTTCAGATTGGTCACAGTATGCTTCAATTTGAAACCGCCCACTATAGCGCCAGCTGGACCTCTAGACTACATTATAATAACTATGGTTTTAATATGGCGGTAGCACACCTTGTTCTCGACAAGTTACAATAAGTTTGATGGTGAGAAATGAATGCGTTGAATGGTCACGTCAGGAAAACAAAAAAAAATATATATATATACTGTTTTTTTTTTTTTTAGCTGTTTATTTGGCTTGCAGGTTATACAACACGGGACGTCACTCCACTGGAGAGCGTGCGGGGAACTTTGAATGATGATTTTGGCATAACCTCCATTTGCCGTCTTTTCACTCACTATTTTGAATTTAGAAATAATAAATAGCATGCCGGGATGGGCAAAGCCCAAATATTCCTAAGTAGCTAGAACAAAAAAAAAAAAAAAAAACGCGTTGGTGCATTTATGCGATTGTTTCATATACGTCAACTAAACACTTTTTTCCCCCCGAAATAACCAGACATAACTCTTCTCAGCGTGATATTTATTATCACGTAAATTCAAAATAACAATTTTTTTCTTGCGCACTCCAGTGGGATCACGTCACGCGTCGTAAAACTTGCAGGTCGAGCGACCAATCCGGAAAACACGGACAGCACGAAAGATCTGCGCTGTCCGTGTTCTGACTCCTACGTATAATTATTTCTTAAGTTCTCACAATATACCAATGCACTCATCACAAAACAGCACGCTTTTTTTTTTTTTTTTACGTTTCATTGGTGTGAATATTTTTAGCATTCATTTCGCACCATCAAACTTCTTGTCACCCATCGGGAAGAAGATGTACTACCCACATTTGGCCCGGATTACGTTTGTCGTGAGGTTTAGAGTGTTGGCAGTAGAACATTTGTTTCCAAAGAGAGGTTCAAATGTAAAAATTCTGTAAACTCGCAAAAAAAAATATTTTCACTTTTAACCTGCACATACATGTCTGAGCTAACTGTGCCGCACACTCTAGATAAAGCGTTACATTTTGGTAGTAAAGTAAATATGGGGACCTCGATCGTGGCATCATTCCCCTAATTGAGAGGGGTGTTGAAATGGAGCCACGACAAAAATCAGATCAGATATCTCCTGTGCTGTGATTGATGTGAGCCGTATTGAAGCCCGTTTCTAGAGCAGCCAACAGTCGATTTTGGAGCAGCAAAAAGAACTTTTGGAGCATATGCAAACACTTCATTTGCATTCCTACCACTGCATATGTTAGATGCTAGGATTCACGTGCTGGCTAGTCAAACTAAAAAACATCATCTACTTTGCCTTGCGACTTCTGTGAAACCTTTTATTATCCCCAATTACACGGCAGGTTTGATTCCCTCAAACACAGAACTAGCTGTTTAGTTGGGAAGAGAAACACCAGACAAAGCAACATGATGCTGAATGATGAAAGACACTATGAACTGCCATGAAAGCTTGTTTTATGTATGAAGTCGGAGGTAAACAAAATAATATATTCCGTGGAAATAATATTAGAACATGATATTAAGCACCTCAATTTATGTTTCATTAAGTTCTAACGAATGTATTAAACTGCAATTCTAAAGAAAAAAAATAGTCCTTTGATTATGCACATCAATGACATTTTATATGAAAAAGTTCATGATAACAAATATCGGCATGTGAACGTTAAATGTCTCGTTAAAATTCAGCAAAACTCACTAAAGTTATTTGAACATTTCCACTTAGTGCCCAACTAATTTAGTTTTAATTTACCATACTCGCTATTGCCACACAAATAAAACCTATACAAAGGTAATAACGAAACAAGACAGTTGACAGTAATTAAACCCAGAGAAGTCTATATTAGTTTCACAATGCCCCAATTCTCAATTTTTTTTTTTTTTTTTTGCTGTTTATTACACATTTATTAGCCACAGTTTTTGCCAGAAAGTCTTACTGAAAAATAGTTAAAGAAACACTCGCTATCTTCTTGTTTTATTGTTAATACGCCCAACACCTGGGTGCGCGACACATTTGTCTGGAGGAGCGCCTTCACCTTAGCACACGGGTGTGCTGCGGCGAAGCAAGATGCGCATAATCACGATGCCAACTCCGAGCTTCTCGCTTCACTGCAGTGCACCAAAGCGCACCGAGAAGCGCACTCAACGAAGCTAGCCTATCTGACAGAACAAAACACGATCAGGATCAATATCGAGAGACCCTTAAATTCGAAAGTTCTGAGAATTCGCACAAGCCTACCGTAATGATCCGACCACGTAGCTATTATATTTGAGTAGTAATAAAGTGAAATTACGTTTTGGTGCGAGCAATGTTGGCGCAAATTGATCATATTCGGGTGAATTGTTGCAGGGTGTAGCAGGGTAAGCACTTTGACGCAGTTTAGGGTAACTGGCGCAGCCATCACATCAATAGATATCCGTTGCGCATGATTTCAAAGTTTAGTCGAGCTGGTGGTGTTTACCTTGGGCAACCTTCCGACCTGGAACGCAGCTCGCGCTGGGTACTTCTCTGTGAAAACTGGAAACGAAGAACAACAGAAAAGTCGATCGGATTTAAAAATTGGATTTAACCTTCTGAAGAAATTAAAAACGTTGAGAGAAAAGTAAATAATACCGGAGACTTTATTAACACAGACGTTTTGGGAAGATACTTCCCTTCTTCAAATGTGAACACACTTGGAAAAGTTTTCAGGGTTGGCATGTCAAAAAAATCGAGTCAACATTCCTAAAAATTTGAGGCATTTAATTTCCTGCAAAGCACTTGAGACAGCCACCTTCTTCAAATGCGAACACACATCGAAAAGCTTTCAGGGTTAATATGTAAAAAAAAAAAAAAATCGAGTGAACTTTCCCAAAAATCTGGGGCATTTAATTTCCTGCAAAGCACTTGGTACAGCCAATCCCTGCAATCTATGGAGGTAACTCGGAAAAAAATGTGAACTGTTTGGGGTCAGCACATTCTCAGCCTCGTCATTTGCCAAGTCACCTCCATAGATTTTGGCAATTGGATCTCCTAAGCGCTTCGATGAAAAGTACATGAGCTGTATTTTTCAGTCTAATGAGTATTAGCACCGCCGTATCCTCATCTACCGTAGAATACCGTGCGTACACTTATTCCACACTAAGCGCCCACCCCAAAATCTGAAACATATAAAAAAATAAGCACAGTACATATATATGTAAAATTCATGACTTCACATGCCCCCATCCCCTATTTTTTTTTTTTTTTTTTTTGCGATTATCTTGATATTCTGAGTGGGTGCTGCTTGCTTAGTATTTTACAGTAGATCAATTAGATCATTAATTTGTTTCCATACAAAAGTCCCGAAAGCATTTGTACAAGAATGAATGATGCAACAATGCTTATAACTAGCAACACAAATTCTAAATTGGCAACTTCCGTTTCTAACTGGGAACTCCCAGGCGTCGATAGTGATCGAGTCAAATGACAAGGACAAAATGATGCAAAAAGTACAGAGCAGTTCTGGGTCTAACTGTGAACAGTTACCCGGAAAAGAATTGTATTTTTCCGTGTCCTATTCAAAGAAAGAACCAAAAAGCCAGGTATTATCAACTTTAATCGTTTAAAAATATTTCCATATACCTTTTCTATAATCAATGGAAAAAAAAAAATGTTGGGGGTCTGGGATGTGTTTTTTTTTTTACAATTGTAGTGTCACTTACACTCAGTGTAGACCTTGTTCATGTCGCCAAACTCGTTCATATCTGCCAGGTACACCGTGCATTTCACCACTAAAATAGAATAAAAATGATGAGACCCAGATGCAATTGACACAGAAAATAGAAGTGCTTGCAATGATGAATTTGGGGTAGACCCTTAAATCACATCGCACTATGCATATTTTTTTATTAAATGTCTTTGTTGGTGCACTTGAATCCTTAGCCTCCTTTGGGGAGCATTTACCTACATTGCAGCCACATGAATGCCAAACAAGCAGGCACATGCATTAATTTAACAATGTTTGATCTTGTGCTGAGAGTGACCTCTGACACAGGTCTGCGGCACCATCAAATTTTCTGTTCCGCATGGCAAAGAAGCCACATCAATGTCATGCCTTTGGATGGATGGATGAATGAATGAATGGATAGAAGGTATTAGTAGGAGATGGTAACTTGTACCACCTGGCCTACAACACTGATGCTGTTTTTATCAGCACCCACGAAAATTCATCCTTTGCCAAAAATGTATAATACTACTATAATATTTTTGGACAATTAATGGTGGGAATAATGCGAACTCCCTCGTTGCTCTAAAACTGTGACACCAACTAGGTTTAGTTTTTTTGTTTCTGACTGGGTAATTGGTCTAGATCAGGTGATTGCCCTTGTTTCTCCTCATTCCGGCATTCAATAAAGCATATTCGTTGAGTGCCGCGACTCACCATTTTTGTAGTTCATTCGTCCAGCCTCAAGGATCTTGCCAAGGTTTGTCAGAGCCTGCAATATGCATCCAAAAGCTACCATGGAACAGACATCCCTTAAAGTCAACATCAAGATTCCTGCATGATGTAAACTTCTGAAATGGTGCACCATGGTTGGTACACACACTAGTGTAGACGTTTTGCATATCCCTCTGTTTATGTTTTCCTCTTCTCTCTTCTTGAGCCTTTTAAATTATCATGCATCACCAGCTTACCTGATATCATCACCAACAGCTAAACTGGTGATGATCAGACATCTTAAAAAGCTGAAATAATGTTCAGAAAAACAAAGAAAATTCAATCACCTACAGATATAGTATTGTAGAGAGACTATGTTCATGTCTTGTGCACATGTGTGTGCCCACATGCAAGTGCATGTGTATATGTGCCTGTATTTATGAGTGTATATGCATGCATATGTGACTTTGCCCCTTGTTTTCTATACCTAAAAGCTCATATCTCCAAGAAATACATGGCTCGCACCGACGTCACATCAGCGGCCATTGTGAAGGACCTTGCTGCTCCACCCGTACCTTCTACAACACATGTTTCGCTCCACCAAATTTGTTTTTGTCAGCTAGAGCATGAAGGAATGCCCATTGGTAACATGCAATGACATCTCGTGCAAGCCATGTATACACCGTCTGTAAGGACTTGCCTGTCTCGTTTCTGGAACAATCCCACCGGGAACCAAGTTGCCTGTCTTCGGGTCCATCCCAACCTGGCCCGAAAGGTACATGGTGCCTCCAGCTCGGACCGCATGGCTGGAGAGATGAACCCCTCATGTTACCAAAAACGAAACATCAAATTTGGTGTTGCCTTTTCTAAGGCCATGGCTGTAGATATAAACTTCTTATAATTATGAAAAGGTATCACCAAAGTTGCTGTTACCACAAGATTCAGAGCCCTATAGCCAGTTGCAGGTAAGAGCAGCAGGACAAGCTCTTCCCATAAAGCCTTCCACCCTTTTTGCACCTTAGTAGAGCAAACACCAGAGAGGAGAAACCACCAATTATGAAGGGTAGAGAGCTTTGTAGGAGGGACTTCTCCTTGCTTTTTCTTATGGTGCACCAGACTATAGGACTATAAACTGAACCAAAAGAAGGTCTTCGTCGACGCTGTCCCGCAGAAGCTTCTCTACGGGACCAGCACTAAAATATATGTGATTGAATACTACCTTACTATTTTCTTCATGCCTATGCTCCTTCAGAAGGATGCTTAGGAGAATAAAGTCTGCTCTACACAGTTGCACTCAATATCGCACATATTTGAGTAGTGGGCAAAATAAACTGGCATTTGTATACACACATTATCTTCACATTCATTTCCACTTCGCAGACACCATTGTAAAATTAAATGCTTTCTCACATAGATTTGAATACACTGTAGCTTTCACAGACGTCACTTTCAGGGCTTATGGGATATGCCACCGCCATCACCAGGTACTGACATAGTTTCGGTTTCAGGCCGGTGCTGCATCGTTTTCGGTGCACGTTTCCTTCTTTCGTGTTTTCGCGCTATGTGCACTTGTGGTCACAGCGGTGTAGTAGTGCCGATGTGCGCGATGTTCAGCAGCAGAAGCAAGTCTTCCGCAAAGGAGAGTAACATAATGCCAAATATAAGGCTGCATTGTTTGACGAAAGTGATAAACCGACCGTCCAAGCGCACAAAACTGCTGTCCAAGAAACACCGGAGCTCTTGCTCATGTACAACAGAAGTATTTGAAGAGCCTTGACGACGAACATGTCTGTGGTCGTTGCTTCATTACCAGCAAAAAAATACATGCGTCATCCCTAATACATAGATTGCTGAAACATTACATTTGTACTCGGTGCACTTTGCCACAGTGGCCAAGACAGCTTTACAAGTTATGGTAGTGTCACACTGCAGGGACTGACAAACCTCCTACTAGGTTATGGAGAACCGCTGCTATTGTCTTTGCTTTTACCTTTGTTGCCAAGCTTCCTAAACTCTCTGGTTCATAGCCCACTTGTGTGGATAGTGATTCGGCTTTAGCACGAGTTTGTACAGCTCATTAAAGTAGTAATTTGAGCTAGTTGGTACTTCAACACAATGAAGCAGTGCACAGAACATTTCCTTCGTATTCTGTGCACTGTTCTATCATGGTGTACAGCTCAGGCAAGTCTTTTAATGTGCAGGCAAGCTTTCGACTCTCATGGACAATACGAACCCTGACTGGGTGCCCACCCAGCATCAGGACAAACGTGGTGATAACCTCTGCCCTTTATGAGCCTTGCCGCTCCACATCATGCATTTTATTATTATTTTGAGTGCAAGTATTCAGTTCACTTATCTTGCATTTCTGAAGGAAACTTCGTGCTGTAGTCGCATGCGCATGCTGCAACATATGCACGATGCACACACCGTCGTGATCTGGCAGTCGAGAATTGCACGAGCGGCAACGGCCACATCCGCTTCTCAGTACCTGGTAATGGCGGCCGACGGGCAGGAATAGATGAAGTGACGTCACGTGAAAACTATATCTGCGCTTCTCTATAGGCTCCTTGCAGTGACGTCACATCGCATACATTTGACCACCATGTAAAAGGAGGAGAGGGAAGCTGCTTTTGTAAGAATTTTGGATGACAAGTTTATCTCGTATAATTATCTGGGAGAAGAATAGCGATGTCTGTGCATATCCGGGGATGATCCTGATAAGAGGGGAGCTCCTCCCTCCCCTTTTCTCTGGAGGTGATCGGAAATGACGTCATGTGCAAGCCACGTATACCACATACGGTTACTTAGGAGAAAACTCTGTGTAAGATATGGGCTTGCCAGTTCGAAGTTATTCGCAAATCTACCAGAACCGACTATAGAGCCAACTTTAAAATGAAATGAGAATAACAGGTAGGAGTTTCAGTTGCTCCGCCACCAGCGCGAGTTTTTTTAACTTCGGTGATGCTTCGGCGTCTCTTGAGCGTCGAGTATGCACGCGCTGCCAAAGCACCACAAAAGGCAATGAGCTCGTGCTGGAGGTCGGGTTTCCCCAACGGACGCACTGCCGTTCACATCATATCCTGTCAACAGCTCCAGCTCCAGCATCACCGCTCGCATATTTTGTGACAGCTGAGGAGAAACCGACGAATTTGAGCATGCTTATGCTTGGAGTGAGAGAACAAGCAACTTTACCTGTACGGGCCGATCCCTGGCGCGACGGCTGGGCTGGTGATAATCTCGCGAGATACCTTCGACATAGTACGAATCGCACTGACGCTGAATTGCCTCGACAGAAGACTGCAAAACATGAAGCGAATTGAGGCGTCCTCCAACTGCTAGCGTCCGTCGGACGATAAGCTGCCAGACAGATTATGGAGTATCTGCCAACCAAGCAATGCGGGGCTCCAGACGACTCGAAACGAGATAACAGCAGCCTAAAAGTATAATTTAGATAGCATAAGTAGCCGTCCGAGTGGAGAAATCGTAGATTGCACGGCTCTAGCAGCGAAAAGGAAAGAAATTTCGGCACAGCAGCGGAGTAGCTGCCAACGTTTAAAAGACGGGAGTGTGGTGAAACTGAAAACAAAAATCCGCTAGATTAGGCGAAATTCAGTTTCGGTTTCGGTGTTGTAAATTTTGTTTTTTGCCTATGTTTCATAAAACCGAAACTGAAACTAAGTGCAGGAATGGCCGAAGTTGTATACATATCCACCTTCTAATGTCGCGGATTTTGTAGATATCATTGCATAATCACTAGGACTGCTACAATTGTGCAGTGCCGCGCCTCTCCCGTACTATCATGGTGCTACGGCAACGAAGATTTGAACGATTAGTACCACTAAAACTTCTTATTTTCAAGAAAATGAAAGAAAGTAGAACTTGTAATGTCATGAAACTTTTTCGAGAAATATATTTTGTAGTAGTTGGTTTTTTTCTTCGTTTTGTGGCTGCAATATTTGGCATTTGACAGTGTTTTTTATTGCCTAGTGAAGCATTCTCAGAAGCCGGTGGGGACGTTGCAGATGAACTGGAGGAAGTAGGAGATCTGGGTGTAGACGTCAGGGAATCCGGGCGTGCACTGGTAGTCGTTGGCGACGCCGACCAGCGTGAACTGGCCGCTCGGTCCGAGCTGGACGACTGGGGAGCCGCGGTCACCCTGCAAAGATGAAAGCTTCGATGTATCGCCACAAAGAGCATGGATAACCTTGGCAAGCGGGATAAACATAGACTCCTATAGGAGGTATTCACTGGACGCCATATTTGTGGGTGCTGTTTAGAGCGCATGCTCAGAACGAGCTCACATTAATAGCCTGCTAAGACCGGCAACCTTGATGGTGCTAATTGCACGCTCCAAAAGGACTGCCGAAGCTCGCCCTCAGCACGCGCTCAACAGCAGCGCACACGGATATGGCCACCAGTGAATACTCCCTATTGAAAATCATTTGTCGATTGTTAGGTTGCGATTGCACAATGACGGAACAACGACACCCCGAAAAATGCAAATCTAATACTTTAAAGTACACTTCATTTAATCAAAATTCCGATCGCAGGCGAAGGCACAAACGAACCGACTGAGAGCATATGTCACTGAACTGGACCTTTCCTGTACTACGTGACTGGTTTAACGATGATAGAGCGCGTACAGACACACGACAAACACCATGACGCAGCGCTTTGGACGCTACACTTATGGCGCTGTTTTGACTGGTCCTATCCGCTCGTGGCGTCGGTGTGTCAAACGGATCGATGGCGGTTTGAAGGGACCGCATAAGTCGGTTTCTTAACTTATCGCGCTGGGACTATCTACAGAGGTGCTCGAAGCCGGTGTTTTCCTTAATTGAGAATATGAATACATAAAACCTCCGGAGTCAGAAGAAAGAAAATAAAAACTGGCTTTGTCTATGAAAACATTATCGCTAAGCCTTCTATCTCAAAATCACCAGAAAAAATCGCTGGGGACTATTCTGGCGTTTACTACGATTGAAGAATCTCTGAAATGGAGAGAAAATAAAATTGGCTTACCTAGTCTTCACTTCGTTTGGCCCAAATAAGCGCCACAGTAACACATAATACTTTTATTGTGCACTCAAAGTATAAGAAAAAACATTGTCTTTTTTTTTTTTTTCTTGGTTTACTCAGGTAAGCCAATTTTTTCACAATTTTAGCAAAAACTTCTACCAACTTCAGTCACCTCCGTAGTAAATCCTAGCACGATACATTAAGAACCAAATTTATGCCGTCGGCCGTCCATTTAAAAGGCCACGATCCCTTTGACCCACGCGGTAGAAGACCAGAAGCACAAACGCAAGGCCGCTTTGCAGGCCTACGCATGACCGGATTAGCAGCGGTGGCACCACGAGCTGGTTATTAGTTATAGAGTTCTAACTTCGGCGGTGTCATTTGTGTCCGCTATTGTGCGGGGATCACACAGCTCCCAAAAGAAGACTCACCACTGTGTGAAAGAAATTTGAAATAAATGGGTCTCTTTCCGGCGTTACGGAATGCCACAAGGGTAAAGTCGAGCTTTCTCAAAAACCACTAGTCCTGGGTATTCAGCTTATTTTTCCCGGTATTTGCCGTCATAAATTTCACTTAATATTTTGTTGTAGTTTTCCTCTAACTAATCTATTCCTCAAATGGGCACAGCTCGAGCAAATATTAACACAGAAACGCACGCACGCACGCGTCGTGGTATGGCGCATGAAACGTCACGTAGCTGTAGCGTTCCAAGGCGGGTGTGGGATGTGGACCACGATGTATACCTACGGTGCGTATTGTATACTTGCGGTATACTTATATGTATAATCACGGTGCGCGCACGCTCGCACACACGTGCACGCGTCGCGGTTCCGGCTTCAGCGCGAGCTCGATGGCTTCCGCAGTGCTCTGGTTGCGCGTGCCTGCGCGTTCTCATTTGTTTTAGCAAGATCAGAAAGCTAGCGCTGAAGGCGGAGCTTCTATTGGCGACTCCAGCGAAATCGACGCCGCGTAGTGTCAACGCCGAGAAACTCAAGAGACGAGGTCGTTGCGACTGTCAACTGCTATCGCTGCTAGGTTCTCGCAGGCAGCATTGAAACAAACATCGTTTCCAGTGATTATTTTATGCTTCCGCCGTGTCATTCCTACGCATTGAGTAGAAGAAGGTCTCTACCGTCGAAAAATCGCTTTGCTTTCATATGTAACACCGATTTTACGCAGCAGTGCAAGAAATTGATGGTGGTTCGCGTGCTAACGACGAAAACGATTTCCTTTCGTCCGCCATTTCGCCTGATTAGCGCGCCCCCTATAGTTCGCTGGAGTGTTTAACCATGTGAACGGAGTATAGCTGTAGCGTATTCGCGACTCCAGCAAAACGGACGCCGCCAAGCGGGAAAACCGGGAACCAGCCGGTCCAGGTCGCTCCGCGCCCCGCCGCGTCCCTGATGGCTTTCGCGGACGCGTGCTGTCGGCGCGGCGGCGAGCAAAGTAATTTGACGAAGGTCCGAATATTTCTTAAGTTTGCCCGAGTGTTCATTAGTGTGGTGAAGTCTCAGTAGATTGTTTCTTTCTATCACGTGTTTGAAAGCCCGTTTATTCCACAACACACGATCGCGGGCTTTCAATTTTTTGGATGGGGAGGAATCACGGGAAAAAGTTTTGATTTCTCGTCTGTCTCTAATCACAATCAAAGTGACGACTGCTTGGTAACTGATAAGCGGTTTCTTTATAAGGATGTAGAACAGTAGACTGAGGTCGACGGACGAAGTGTTTCACTGGAGGGGACACCAATGTTGCAGTCAAGTGAATGGGAAGGTTCGATAGCTGCTTTCCTTGAGTTTAGTTGTCCTCGATTAGCTTCAGGTTAATTTAAGCCACTAACGCCGGCCGGTGCGTTGGCTATTCATCTTGGCGGCGTTTCGCCGAAAAAGACCACATTGAGGGAGTTGGGCTAATTTCGCAATTACTTGATTCAGAAAACCTGCTCGCTGCATATGATTAATGAGGGAAATTATCTGCTTTCAAAGGGTGGGGGACGCGTCTCGCAAAGATAGAAGCTGTAACGTCATTAGGATCTATCGCGCCTCCAATACTTATAACCCCTGTCGAATCCAGTAGCGATATACGTCTACACTGCTCAAGTTGACCGGCCACAAAAAAAAAAAAAAATACTAATTTTATCTGTTTAGGATTCGAAGTCAAGTTCAATGCAGAGAGGTCTGAGTGAATCTCCGATGAAGACTCTCCTCAGCTTGTCCGCATTCGTCTCCGTTCTACCGGCTAGAACCATTTGGCTAAGTTTAAGTAGTATCTGTCTGTCAAATATACTTTTATTCAGCAGTTCACCCTAATAGTTAGTCAACTAAGTTCATATTTCAACCCGAAGAACATACTAATATCGCTTTAGTGGGACCATAGTACGTAAAATAATACAGAACCGCATATTCATCAAAATGACTTCTCGATTGCTACTAAAGCCTGAATTGAAATACGAGTATCAGCCGCTTAGTGAAGTGCCAGCGATTTGACATGCTCCTTGGCTCAAGAAGCGCTTGCTTAATTTTCGTAATTTTCCTGCAGCCTGTGTTCTTGACCGAGCACACGACTGCAGCTGTATCTTGAAACGCGGACAGGCACAAAAGCTCAATTTCGCGGACAGGTAAGTCGCATGATCGAGGCATGCATGCGAGTTAGCTAAAAATTATTCTTGGTGGAACAATTTTGTAGCCCTCGCCACTTTCCTTAGATGACCAGAACTAATTAGAGTCTATTACCGTTTCTCCGGAGCCCATAGTTTCGGTTTTGATCGAAGTCTTCGCAGCGAAAGTTTGACATGAAAAGAACAAAAAACACCGGCAAAACAAAACATTGCTCGGCAAGTTTATGCGCACCGGCTAAACTTAACTGTCTCAGTTCAAATACCCATAAAATTGGGCATTCAACAAAATAATAATTGTTAAATTGAATGCGCCACCCATTCAGGCGTCCCGGCCGAGCCGACGCGACCTGGACTCAGCCGCCATGTTTGTTTCGTGGTGGCGCCCCCTATAGGTCGCTGGAGTCGCGAATAACCATGTGGAACAAGGCTATACTTACGGTGCATATCCCAGCGTTACGTCCGACGCCGCAGAAGGCGTAAGGTTTGTGGCGAAACAGGGGGCATTCGTCCTTGGGCTGCTTCTTGATGTTCACCTCTTGCATGATGGCGTTGGCTCGACCTGACAGAAACCAAACAAGGCGGCGTAACATCACATTGAAATCACGTCGAACCTTATCCAAAGAATCCTGAGCCTTGACACCTACAATGTCATTACGTCTACATTAGCACAACCGCGTTGCTTCGTTGCGCTCCACAATATATTCAGGGCCTGTATTGACGTCACATCAGCGCGGCCATTGTGATGGTCTCGTTGACGTGACGTCCATTGAGCTGCCAACCTCCTGCAGCATATAGAATGGGCGTTCAATGTAACTTTAGCTAAGGTTTAAAAATATGTTCGCGCACTTCAGGAAGACGAAATCAAAAGAATATGTCTGCACATTGTTTGGAGTCAGTCAGGCTATTTTTGTATGTTTTTTTTCAATTAATTATTTAATTAAGAATTATTAACTAACTTTCGAAATATGCAATTTGGAGCAAAAGTTCCAAGGACAAAGTTGTAGAGCGTCCTCAGAAATGTCTAATTCAGTGTTTTTTATTAAGAAACCTTAACACGTTCTCTTTTTTTATCGGTTTTAAAAGACGCCCGCGAATTATGAAAAAAACAACACGTGACTTGGCGCTTGTGCGCCTTATATTGCAGCGCTCTCGGCCGTGGCTTGAATAAACTAGACCTGCATGCTGAGTAGAGCACTGTTGACAGGGCACTGTTAAAAACTTCGCGATTCTCTTTTTTTTATATATATAATTTGCGCGTTTTTTTTATGTTTTAAAAGAACGAGTTGTGTGTGAAGTTTCTTGATAAAAAATACCTTTTCATTTGATGCTTCTGAGGATTCTCTACAACGTTGTCACAGGAGATTTTGCTCTAAATTGAATAGTTTAAAAGCTAATTCATCCTTCTTAAATAAATAGTTAACTGGGCAAGATACAAACATAACCTGTCGTGCTCCAAACAATTAACAAACTTATTCTTTTGGTTTCATCTTCCTAAAACGCACGAAAATAATATTAAACCTTGGCTAAAGTTACGTGGAATATTCTGCATTTCTGAGAACAAGTAGGGGTGGCCAACAGCTCGCGCAACGACATCACGTGCAAACCATGTATTTATCGAGTGCTGCAAAACACCAATGAAGTCACGAACTCAAGACAATGTGGTGACCGCGCAATACAGCTTGTTTCTATCATTGCTTGTTATATTTTGTTGCTGTGGTAGATATCAGTAACATCGGTACACAACTACATCTGACATTTTGTCATATATCTTATGATTTTATATTCTGTTCTTGTTGGAGTCATTATGGCGGCTCAATAGAAAAAAAAAAAGACGATGAGTACGACGCGTTTAACATCCGCGGGAGCGGATTCCACGAACCGGGCGTATCGGCTACTTTGCCTATCACGACCCTTTTATAGTAGTTCGCTCGAAATCCGCAAGGTGGCGTTTACATCACTCTATATCGAGGTGTTAAAGGGAGATCTGGAAAGGAGTTTTGGTTCCGAGCCTGACTTTCGCAAATGCAGTTTTGCGCATAAAACTGGACGCCCAGACAAGGCTAGAAATAAAGCAACGTAAACTAGGTAGTAATTATAATGCAATTAAATGCAAAGGTGCAAGCGAGCTGGACAAGAATGATGAAAATAATCCCTGGAGAAGGGGAACAAGAGGGACAAAGGACAAACATAGATCTCCAAACACAGCTAGGTGACTGGTGAGCGACCGAAAAAATCCGCCTGGTCCGGGTATCGAACCCGGAACCTCTCCATTACAGGTGGAGCGCTCTACCAACCGAGCTAACCAGGGGTTAGACGTCAGTAGAGCAAACGGGTTTTATCAGTTGCCACCAGTCTAACACCAACAAGGGTGAAGCTTGGAAGTTAAGGTTGTAATTATAATGCAATTAAATGCAAAAGTGCAAGCGAGCTGGACTAGGTGACTGGTGAGGTTCGATACCCGGACCAGGCGGATTTTTTCGGTCGCTCACCAGTCACCTAGTTGTGTTTGGAGATCTATGTTTGTCCTTTGTCCCTCTTGTTCCCCTTCTCCAGGGATTATTTTCATCATTCTTGTCCAGCTCGCTTGCACCTTTGCATTTAATTGCATTATAATTACAACCTTAACTTCCAAGCTTCACCCTTGTTGGTGTTAGACAGGTGGCAACTGATAAAACCCGTTTGCTCTACTGACGTCTAACCCCTGGTTAGCTCGGTTGGTAGAGCGCTCCACCTGTAATGGAGAGGTCCCGGGCTCGATACCCGGACCAGGCGGATTTTTTCGGTCGCTCACCAGTCACCTAGCTGTGTTTGGAGATCTATGTTTGTCCTTTGTCCCTCTTGTTCCCCTTCTCCAGGGATTATTTTCATCATTAAACTAGGTAGATTGCCTCCGGGGGCACAAGGTAAAACACCGAAACAAGGTGTATAGGGCGATATTGGATAATGCGCAATCGAGGGCAGGGAAGCTAGCAGTAAGATAAAATTTAAAAATAGGCTGAAAGAAATATAGATGCAGAACGGTATATACAAAGTGGTCTTAGCTGTTTACACATGAGAAGCGTCGATACAAAATAGAAAAAGTGGACTAGGAAATTTAGATATTAATATATGGACAATAGCAGGGAGGCGGATGAGAAAATGCAGGTTACGGAGAAGAAAATATAGGAAGCAGGCATACAAAGACTAAATCGGCCTTGGAAATTTACAGATCGTTTAAGAAGGGCATTGCTGAGGAGCCTGTCTTTGACAATTGTAAACGAAGCTCCTTGTTGTTCGAGGCGAGGACGGGAGTGTTGCGGACTAGAGGGCGATTCTTACACTTGCGTTGAGTCCGACCTTAGGGCGAGGGTTGCTATGGCAACAGCTGAGCACTTGATTCTTTACTAAGGGGCTTCACCCTGTGGTAGCTGAAGAGGCGACTAATTTAATAAACGCACTAGGATTTAGGGATAGTGAGCGAAAAATAGACACGGGGAAGGCAGAGGTAACCAAGAAGGTATTACCTGACTGGTGGCATAGGTCGAGGGAAGGAAGAATATTTTCTTATTCCCTTCCGGGCGACCCTTAGGGAGGAAGGTACGTGTGTGCACTCGGTTGCATAGAAGCGCCTCCGGCGTACGGATCGTAGCTTTAAAGAATAAATATCTAGATATATGATATATGTTAAATAAATGTTAGAAGAAAAAAAAACACTGGCTAGGTGGCGCCAGCCACTGCCCGTTTAAAGGGGTTCAGCCTCATCCATCTATCTACCCATCGCTAGAGAGCCTAGATTGAAGAGAGGGTCCATCTCAAACCATGGGAAGCGTTGACAATCTAATGGCGGACGCCTACCGCGCCGATTGGTCGTAAGTGCGCATACGTAAGGCTCTCTAAAGATCGCTGAAATCGTTAATTTTTTTTTCTTCTTTTGCTACTATTTTAGGTTGGTCATTCGTTTAAGTCGTCTGATCAGCACGACTCCTCGACACAAGAGAGAGTTACAGAAGCAGTATCGAAATAAAAGAAACGATCGCGCACCGGAGTCGTCGTAACCGAAACCGGTGAGCGTCAGCAATCCCTGCGTGTCCGTGCGCTTGTCCGGCAGGCAGACGGCGTTGATGTAACCGTTGGTGGTGGCGAAGTCGATCTCGCTGTCCAGCTGAAGGAGCGCCAGATCGAAGCTGTACAGGTCCACGTCCTGGTCCCAGCGCGGGTGGAGAACCTTGTCGTAAACCTTGGGAGAAAGGGGAGTACGCAACCGATGTGATGTCGTCCCTACACGTCGACAAGAAGCCCTGACGTCACGACGCTATGGTGGCGCTGCTGTCGGCACGGCACATGCGCGGATGCTTCACTACACGCAACTCTGGTTTCCGCGCACGCGCAGTGCCCACCCCTTTTGCCTGGGCCAACGCGGACTTGTTTCTAAACAGCGCGGTCGTCTATACCAGGGACTTTACACCAAGGGTCTCCAAACGGCAATCCGCGGAAGTTTTCCGACCGGCCCGTGGCTGGCCGCGGTCTTTCCAATGAACAAGGGGAATGAGCCGAGCTGGTGGGTTAAGGCCCGTTCACACTCTTGCAACCGAGTGCGACCGAGAGAGACCAAACCGGTTTTTAAGCCTCTTGCGATCTCTTAGGACCAGCTCCGCTCAGTGCATCCGGTCCCAAGAAGTCTTTCTCGGTCGTACTCGGTTGCAAGAGTGTGAACGCGCCTTTACTTATTTCGGGTGGGACTAGCTAAACATTGGAAGAAAGGTAGGTGATAAGAAGAGACAACTGACCGCTGGACTACACACAATTCACTGAATCCTCTTGCCCAGGAGATATAGACACTTTACACACGCGCCAGATTGCAGACGCCATAGCTGGCCTTCTCTTGTCTTATACCGAGATGCCGAGCCACTCAAAATGGGCACTGACGAGCCTTCACAAAGGCGAATGCTGGGGACAAGGACACAATAAAATCTAAAAGGGCAATAACCTGGCCTGCTATAGTAATGATAAAGTGAAGTAAACGAAATAAGAGGAAACATCGGTTAAGGCGGCGCCCATGCAGAGCTCCTGCAAAGCGCCTTAGTAAGAGTAAAAAAAATGATTAATCGTGGAAAATCAGAAGAAAAGTAACAGCGGTAGTAGAAGAAGAGGAATCAGATAATATAGTTGGTAGTCCAGCGGTAGGTTGTCTTTTCTAATCACCTTCCTTCCTCCCAATGCTCAGCATGGTTCCATCCGAAATTTCCAGTGAGGCCCGGCCTGCCGACACTGGCACAGAAATGACCGTGCGTAAAGAACTGGCACCGGAACGCACACTAACCACGTAAACGAATATACAAATAAAAACGAGAGAAAATTGCCTGTTGTAAGGCGTCTCCTTCCGTCATAATATTCATTCGACATTGGCGTAACGAGCATCATTATCCTTAGTCCCCTGTTTCATATATGTCTAACTACGTAGGTTAAACTCTTTTGCGTTCCACAACACCCCCCCCCCCCCCCCCCCCCCACAAAAAAAAAAATAATAATTATTATTATTATTGCAAAAGTTAAATACGCATTGCCAAACGCTCATCCTCCGCCAAAGGTTGCGCTAGCTGTTCGAACCAGATGCCAAAGCTTCAGAAGTAACCGTTATCTCATTCGAAGGCTATAAGTGATTTTCTGAAAATTCAATGGGGAAAATGGCAGCCGACGGAGCTCTTGAATGCACGAAGCTGAATTGCGCCAGTTATCGAAAGCGGGCGAAAATGGGCCCCATTTTCGCACGTTTTTCATTTTGCTAGTTTATTTTAGAAACACTGAAAAGGTGACGCGTGTGGCAGGAAAACGTTCAGTTTGGGCAGCACAACTATATATATTCGTTTTCACCTCAAGACAACAGTAAGTTTTGCGCATTGTTCATACGCCGCGCGAAATAGTTCTCGCCAGATTTGGTTGTCGGAGGCACAGGCGATGCTTTTTGCGTTTGAAACGTGTACTCCTTGATAAGATGACGTGTATCCACTCTAAAATGCTAATAAATATATCTTAAATCTCCACCTAAAGGAGAAAATTAGTAATCATCCGCGAGAAGCCGGACTTTTTTTCCTATGGTTCTTGAGGTGAAAACAGGTATAGTTCCCAACTAATTACAAGAAACTTGGCAGTGTGAATTCAGTGCTGCGGATCCACAGTACAGACTCGCTCAGCAGCGCGAAACAAATCCGCGACGTACTGCCTGCTCGACAGCCAGTGAAGTCCCGCCACTTACAAGCGTGGGTTAATTCGAATGCTCGTTCTGGTTTCGCTTTCATTTGGATACAAAACTTGAAAATATAAAACAGAGAGGACGAGGACGGGAACAGGACATCTTTTGAAAGATGTCCTGTTCCCGTCCTCGTCCTCTCTGTTTTATACTTTCAAGTTTTGTATCTATTAACCAACACGCTCGTTTTCAACTGTAACTTTCATTTGGGTAGCTCGAAAATCGGCGAGTAACTTTCAAGCAACCGCGTTGGTGAACCGCTTTGAGAATGCAGTACAACCACCAACGTGAGTAGTAAACGCCATTCGGTGTGCGGCAGCAAACAATCCCTCCTCCAATCGTCGCCTTCTGTGCACCGCCGTATTTGCGTATACAGGACTCTGGAACGCGTCTCTGGGCATGCGCAGTAGGAAGGTACCCCTTTTCCCCGGAATATCAGACTTCGCGCATGAGTCCACGACACGTGAGTCAACATATTTTGCCCGGGGTAATAGGCGCCGAAAAGGCGTACACACCAACACCCGAACCTGGCGTCCTTACGTCGCGCCGTGTTGTCGGCGCAGTGCACGCGTAGAAATTCTTACCTTGTAGCTACGCTCCGTGGAGGACACGACGTTGAGATTCGACTTGCCCAGTTTTACTTCCAGCTGGGACGTCGTGTAGCTGAAAAAAAAAAGGAAAAAAAGATCGTAATGAGCATCAGTGCCTGACAGTTCGCCACGGCACTACACTTACCGCTCTAAGATATAGATCCTTTTTCAAATGTGCGCGCCATCTAGCAGCTGCTGCGCCGATTATCGGAGACCGCCATTGTTTGGGTACGTGATTCGAATAGTTATTGGACGCGGGGGTTGCGTCACCAATGTTGCCTCCTCGGCTTTTAAAAGCTATATATCGTATGAAATGTTCATGTTACTTCAGCATTTACCTAACAACCTACAAACCATAAGATCCCTCCACCCAAGGTGAAGAGATAAAATAAAAAAAAGAGGTGTACTATATTTCGGGGGTGGCCGTTTTTTGGGGGTGGGCGATCTTTCGGGATTTTTATGGTAATTCCACAACACGCCCGCGGCCGATGCCGGATCGACTCACTCTTGAACCAGGTAGGCCGTTGTCAGGACGAGATTGCACGAGATGAGAGCTCCGCCGCCGATGGGAACGCCGTCAGCGTAGACAATCGCCTGAAAAGAGAGACCAAGTTTGCACGTCATCCTGTTGACTAGAAAATCTGAAGTTATTAACGTTCAAATTTAATCCCTGTCGTTTCTTTGTTTTTTTTTTTCTCAAGCTGGCAACAGCGAAAACGTGACGACGGATGTAATTTGGGCAGTACAACCTGTTCCCGAAAGGCAACAGGAAATTACATAGAATGAAATAAATTCTGGAAAGGTCACTCCAGCAGAACGAAAACCAATGCTCGACGCAAGGTTTACAACACATGACGTCACCCCACTTCAATGCGCGGGGAAATTTGAATGTTGGTTTTGACACTGCCTTAATTTGCAGTTTTCTCAATAACTATATGATAAATTTAGAAAATATGGCATACCGTGAGGAGTGAATCTCGGGTACCCTGAATGTGTAGTAAGTTCGGGTGGCTCAGAGAACCACCTAAATGGTCTATCTTGTTATTCCTAAATAACTAAAAGTTGTCATTAAATTAGTTAGAGAATTAACGTTCGGCCTAGTTACTGTCCAGCCGTGACGTGAAATTTGCATTAAAACTTCCGTAAAGGGTGCTATAAGGCGAGAATTGTCACCCTTGTACATGGCTTTGAAGCTAAGCGATCAAAGAGCGCCAGTGACGTCGATCAGTCCTCAGTGCGCCGTCTCCGCGACCTATGTTCACGCATTGCAAGTGACATCAGCGGCGCGACGCAAGCGCAGAGCGACGGAATCAACAGCACGGGCGCTCTTTGCGCGCTTAGTTTCGATGAGAAACCGAAACTAATGGCGAATTCAACTGGTCATTTTGGAGCGCGCCAGGACCACTAGACTAGATCCGAGATGGAGCACGCGATTCGAACGGAGTCGCTCCACCACCGGATCCCCAGTTTAAATCGAGATCGGCGGATGCCTTCCCGTCATTCACCTTCCCGGAAATCCCCTTCCCGCGGTCCCGGATCTCGAAAGACATTAACAACTTGTGCTCAACGCACGAGCGAAGTTAATCATGATGTGAAAGATGCGTGTTGATAAGCGATGTGCACCAGCGTAACCCACTTGCCTCTTCATCGGAATACTCGTGAACGGTGCCCAAGTACGTCTCGAGTTTCGGCCTCTTCGGAGGAAGTCCGAAAAGGCAGTGGAACTCATGCGGGACATACAAGCAATCCTCGTCGTCGCTGTTACTCGAGCCGTTGCTGCTGGAGGAGCTGCTTGAGTAACTTGGCGACGAACTGTCATCAAGCAGCAGCAGTAAAACGGGCGGCACTTCGCGAGCGGCCATTACGAATTAATTCTTCCGAGGCAAGATGCCCGGCGAGAAAGGAAGTCACGTGTGTGCGCCGAGGGCTGGCCATGGGCTGGCTTCCGGTCGAAGCCGATGAAATCGGCGGAGCGACTTTTTTCGGATCCGGATCGAGATCTGGAGTAGGAGCTGATCCAAAACGGACGAGTGGAACACGTCGGTCTCGATCCCAATCGCCCAATGAAACAGGCGCGCTCCAGAAAAGTCGATCCCGGCGCGCTCCAAAACGACCGATGGAATTCGCCATAAGTGTGACACAGGGAAATGAAAGAGGTGCGCTGGACGGAGCTGGCTGTACTCACGTGCCACGGGTACCGACCCCGGGAGGAGTTGGAACCTCCGAAGGCCCTGCCGGCGAACAGGTCCCAGGGATTGCGGGGCGAGCCGCAGTTGACGGGAACGCAGCTCCGGCAGGTTTCCGGTTTGTACGGGTAGCTGCCAGCTAGGGCTGCAAAAGTTGTACAGTTTGTAATCTGCGATTTGATCTGAATGCAAGCATCAGATCTACCTGGAGACCTCAAAGTGACAGCGCTGTTTCACCGAGGCAGTTGGCCTTGTCTGTACATTAGTGAAACGCGCCGGCAACATGTTTGAGGTCCTCTTCCAATATCCAGGCTCGCGGTTCATAAATGCCGATGATAAGAGACGGACAAATTGCGCGGGCGGGCTTTCGCATTTCGAGTCTGACACCTGCAGCACGTGTGGTAACTTTAGCGCACCATCGAGCATTCCAGGTGCTCCAAGTATTTTCAAAATTTACTGGTGTGTTGGTTTTCGATTACGCCGAGCAAGTTTCTAATGGACCATCTGTTTATCTTCAATATTTAAACAGTAATTTAGAAACCTTAGTTAATTAACCAATTTATCTTGACGATTATCCCCCTATACTATGTTCCTCCGGCCGCATAACTCATCTGCACAGATCGCATTATGTACCATTCACAACTTTTTTTTTTTAACAGTGTGTAAATTTAGGAAGAAAACCTCACGTTTTTTATCTGGGCTTTCTTCTATAAAGAGCGTATTCATCCTTGCACTTTTTGTGAGGCCTGCGTGTCCACTTACGCAACCCTCAAGAGATGACCGTGGTTCTACAGGGTCCGATAGAAAAAGCATGCCTAAATAAACCGCCGCAGAAAGAAACGCCGTGGATGTGACGCTAGAGGTGGTGACAGATGTCAGATTGTAAATGTTTAAGAACTTAACGTTGCCTAAATCAAAAGATGTTAAAAAATTCAGTCGATGCTTAAAATATCTTTTTAAATCGAAAAATGAGATTGTGTGCGGCTATGGCGTTTCTTTCAGCAACACCAACTTGTCAGCAAGTAAGAAATCGATTTTTTTTTCTTGGTGAATGATGTGGTGTGGCTCGGCACTATAAAAAATGTCATATACTCACGTCAGGCCCACTCAGTGTCAGCTACCGCGCGGGTACTCCATTTTTAAATAGAAAAGTCTTTGAGACAAAATTGTTTATAGAATTCCTTTATAGATAAATTCAGTTTAGAGAAAACGGCGACAAAGCCTTTTAGCATTTTTTTGTTTTTCTTATGGAAACATTTTGGAGTCGGCCGACGTACGGGGGGAAAGAGAGAAGGAGGCGCTAAAGACTTGGCTTTTTCGCATCATCGATCGTAGCGTACGCGGAGATTGGCAGGCGCAGGCCAAGAACCGTGCGGCACCGAAAGTACAGCCTCCTTGCGTTCGCTGTCTTTCTGTGAGCGTGTGCAGGGTTCACCGAATGTCTGCGTGTCTATGCGCTTGTGGATCGTCTAGTTCTCGCGACTGCCCTCTGACTTTACGGAGACAGGAAATAAAAACGTGTTTGTTTTTGGTAGAAAAGTAAATTGCATGTTTCTCACCGCGAAAATAAACTAAGTGTCGCCGAATGCTCAGGTGCCAAGGTTTTTCGTGGCTTAGCGCTATCTAATTATAAACCTATAAACGATTTCTTTTTTTACAAATGTCCAAGCAGAAAGCAGGGCCCGTTCCTCGCCATATTCCCGCCGCCCGGGCGCATTTCGCGTAATTTTTTTCAATGAAAAGTTTCGATAATCGCTTATAATTCTTTTGAATCAGATAATGGCAAGCCCAGAAACTCCGGCATTTTATCACAATCTTTAGTCTCACATTCGGAGACTGTGCGTGCGGTGCGTAGTTTATAATTGCGGTGAGAAAAACGCGATTTACTTTTTTTTTTTAGGTCGTAAAAATCGGACACCTTCGCGACGCCAGCTTCTAGGTATTGTCCATATATTATATTTTTTTCTGGCACACACCGAGCAGTCGAAATGCCACCGACACGACTGATCATATATAAACCTTTTCTGTGTACTCTCGTCTCCAGCCACCTATAGGCGTATACGGTAAGGGCGACGAAAAAATAATCCAACGTTTCAAAATGCCAATAGTAAAACAAATAAAGAGGAGGCAAACCGAGAAAGTCTGACGGTTACGCTTATATCCTAAATGCCTTCTATTGGCGTGGCAAAGGCAAAACAATGTTTTTGCCCATACTGGAAGTGACGACAATTTAAGATGGCGGCGCACTTGCAGAAAAGAAGCTGCCGCCTGTTACAAAGATAATAGCCGTTACCATCCATCCATCCATGGTTCAGGGGTAACTACCCCCCCCCCCCCCCCCCCCCAAACCTCATTCCACCTTAATCGAGTGAACGTTGGAGAGGAGGTCGCCTCCTCTACAGCGTTCATTCTGCAACAGTCGAAAGAGGTGCCAGGAGCTTCCCCTGAACTCTTCAGCTCGGGGGCGGATTTAGCCGGGGGTGCGGACGTCGTGACCCCCCTCTTGATTTCTGCATTTGTAAAATTTAGATCGTGAAACGAAGGAGAGGGGGAGGGGGTTCCTAAACATATGGTACGCTGACCAACACCTGACCCCCCTCCCCCCTCAGCAAATTCCTGCATCCGCCCCTGCTTCAGCTGTCACCGACTGTAGTGTTTTAGCTCTCAAAACTGTGTTCGGCACGTCGAGCACACACGGCATGGAAACACGTAACCCAACAAAACAACAACTACAAAAACCTTGGCAAATATTTCTAATTATTATTATTACTATCGATGCTGTGCACTGTTTCGCACCAAGTGCTCCGACAAAGCCTAATGCACTCGCGTTTGACGATCCGACCGACTGAGGCAACGCATCCGGTCCTAAGACGTCGCAAGAGGTTTGGAAACCTGTCTTGTCTCTCTGGGTCGTACTCGGTTACAAGTGTGTTAGCGAGCCTTGAAAATAAATTAACGTACAATTTTTTCGTTAGCCCCCCCCCCCTTTTTTTTTTTAATTGACACGCAGAGTTATGTTTTACAGAAATCGAACGGTACATGCCGTCACAAGTCAAAAATATTCTAGCCCTTTTTTTTTTTCTTTTTTTTTTTTTCAATTTCGAGAATTTAAAAGCTATGTAATAACGCTGGCAAGAAATTGTCTCTAAAATCGGTAATAATTTCGTCGTATGTGTTTTAGACATTGACTCCGCTAGATAAGGTATTTAGCCAGTGCAGTACGACTGCCAGAGTGAATGATACACGCTCTCGCGCCTGTACGATGCTCGTCCAGATTGAAACGGGCAGGGTTGTGGATCGAACCCAGGTTCTCTGGATTCTGCAGCGCAAGATTCTGCGGCGCTCCATGCACATGTTCCGAGATGCCGTGCCCTAACTTTACACCTTTCCAAAATACGCTCCTAGGCCGCCGCCATGTTGCTGATGCTGATGCGGCTGGTGCGACTCTCGCGCCCTCTATCAGCTAGAACTTTTCTGCCACTCTCTGGGACTGTGAAGACCCGCTCAGCGTGGTTCTCTACCTACGTTTTTGCGGTTTTGCATTCGAGAGTTTTCTCGCCCCTCTTAAAAGTTTCCACTTAATTTTTTTTTATGCGTGCTGCGTATCCTTTTTGTTTTATCTTCCACTGTGAGAAATGAGGCTGGTAAGTGCCTGCCATTCAAGCTTTTCTGCTCGACATTCACGGGAAACGAAGGAGGTGAAGGACGTCGATCGACCCTCGACGCGAGTTTGCGAACATTGTTCTCCCCCCTCCCAGAAATAATCCGCATAGAATCCTCAGTCATCTCCAAAAATAGTTGTCCGGGTTGGGGTGAAAAACGGGTCAGTCGCGTTTGTTTCTTTGCCTTGGTGCGGTTGTGAAAAAAGGAAGCTCTCCCCAAGACGTGCCCCAAAACGAAGTCGTCTCGGATTTCGTCCGATCGTCAAGGACTTAAGATGTCATTGTCGTCGACTGTGACTGTGTTATTTGAGAACTTTTTCAGATAAATCATTTTCGGATAACGCTGCATCGTGTGGTACGTACGATATAGACGCTTTGCAGCAGCTGCGCATGGACGCCGCCATAACTGACCTTCAGTTTTTGTTTCCTCCTATTCCGTTTATTTCACTTCATCATTACCATAGCAGGCCAGGTTATTGTCATTTTAAGTGTTACTGAGTCCTTTTCTAAAGCATCGGCCTTTGTAGAGGATCGTCAACTACCGTTTCAGTTGCTCGGCATCTCGGTAAGACAAAAGAAGGTCAGCAATGGCGGCTGTAATTTGGCGCGTGTGCAAAGCGTCTATATTGTTCGAATGTTATTGTATGCCCCCTTGTCGTGTCCATCAGTAAACACGTTATTTGTAAGCGTGAAAAATGCATGCCTTTCGGCCCTCTTCTGTTGCAATTTATTTTTGGCAGCAAAGCGCTTTGTCGTTTCACACGCGGCGAATCCCGCGGCGCCGTCAAAACTTATCGTAAGAAAACAAAACGAATAACTAGAACTATACATTCCACTCGCATTCGTTCTGTCGCGCGCGTACCCAACAAAAATAGTTAACAGTTTTTTTTTCTTGCTTCATTTTTTTTTTTTTTTTTTAAATGTGGCACAATGCTTTCTCAATGTCCTCGGGAAAATCCATGTACCATGAAACACAAAATATAGCGGGAAAAGCCGAGAATTTAGCCGCCAGCAGCGTTTGAAACTGCGCCTACGCAGTCAGCGCCTATTGAAATCACAGTCCACTCGGTTAGGGTTAGGAGGGACGCCGGGGAGAGTCTAGCCTCAAACTCAGTGACTGGGCTCGAAAAAGGTTTGTTGCCCCTGGGGTAGAGTGTTTTTGGAGCTAACACCCTGCAGTAACCGTTCTCCCCAACTTCAAGATACAAAATCCCACATAGCTAAAACGTTCAGTTTTGCTGCCTTCTCTTCACTCGTGAACAACGTGCACTTACGTGGCTCGGAGCAGGTGAAGCGAACGCTCGCAATGCAAAACCCGCGGGCCGCAGCGATCCTGGGATCCGGATGAGCATCATAGCGGCGTGCAATCGCGTACCACTACGCTTGCTAAAGTTCTAAACTACATAGTTACGAGGAGGGAAAGAGCGCCAAAAGTACGGAGGACAAAGAACGAAAAACACACAGGCCGAGCGCTGTGTTCCTCGTTCTTTGCCCTTTGTAGTTTTGGCGCTGTTTCCCTGTAGGCTCTTCGTACCTATGCATAACCAACTCGCCCCATCTTCAACGGTTCTCAAGTACAGCGGAGACATCCGACGCCCAGTGGGGCAGACTAGATTCCCGCTGTTTAAACGTAAAAGAACACAAGTATACTTTTAGATTTGCCGACGGCATCTTCTACCTCGTAAATAACATTTTCTTGTTCTAGCAGCTTGTCTCTTTGGCACTGACGCGAGATCGAAATAATTACATGTATATCCGTCTTACCAATATGAGCGAGGTAGTAGGCGACAACGACGGCGGCAAGAATCCGTGCTTCCATGGCGATGTTGAGCTGAAGCAGACGTGTGACCACCAAACGAAGCTCGCGTTTTGAAGTGAAATTCTCAATTCGAGGAGGAAAAAAAAGAAAAAAAAGAAGAGCACCAATATCCTTTCTGGCTCTTGTGAGTCAGAAAGAGGCGAACTGGAGATAGTCAAGAGAGAGAGAGAGAGGTAGCCCTCGCATTATTGAGTCACCCCACAAAATATTGGAGGATGAGCCGGCTTGAAGGCGTGGAGTGCATTGTCTATTCACAAGAAAACGCTTATCGAGTTTTTGGGTGGTGGTGGTCTTTTTTCTGTATGTGGGAAAGGGGAGAGTTCCTTTTGGCTGCTGAAACCGTCAGCTTAGAAGAAAATGGTGACTGGCTGATGTTCGGGGGGGGGGGGGGGGGGGGGGCGCAGGCAGACGCTGACGTGGTGCCCTGGTCATGCAACTTGTTTCTCAAGAAGCTTTTATTTTATTATTCAAATCTGGAGCATTCTGCTTGAATTGATCTGAAGGAACAGATACGGACACAGTGATTATTGTTTTGTCCGTTATATTGATATGAGTACACTTAATGCAACTCAGTCATCAATGACTACCATGACCTGACTCATCACAAAAAGTGTCATTATCCGAAGTATAGGTCAAGAGTCCGGCTTAGGCTAACTCTTTAATAATATATAATTACGACATGTGCATCAGACATGTTAGCCGATTGTCAGTCTCGAAGCCCAGCGCGCGCTTTGGGAATGCCAACGCGCTCACCGGAAGTCGTTATAACACCATAATAATCATTACAAACTGTTTCTTTGCTCGCGCTGCAGAACCCAGGGGATCCTAGGTTCGGTCCTCACCCCTGCCCGTTTGAACCTGGATGAGCATCGTAGTCGTACTGCACTGACGAAATTTCTCATCAACAGTGGGTAACAATGTCGAAATAAAATTGCGTTGTGTGCCTAGAACTTGGCCTGGAGGCCTCCACGGGCGACGAGTCTCCCAGCTGTAGATGAGCAATTTAGCCAGTGCAGTACAACCGCTAGCCTGATACACGACCGCACGCCGGTACGATGCTCATCCAGACAGAAACGGGCAGGGGTGGGGATTGAACCCAGGATCCTGGGTTCTGTAAAAATGTCGCAATACTCTGGCACAGTGGTTCTCGACTATCCATGTTTCGTGTACCCCTTGTGGATCGGCGGAGATGATGGAGGACCCCGTTCGTGCTGAGGGGAAGGGAAAGGTAGGTCAATTATGATAATGATTTAATAAACGGATATAAATCATATAACTAAGGGCTACTGTGAAGTAGACTTCGCTCATGGACAAACACACAAGAAAACTCACCCACAAATTGAAATGTTTCTTCTCAATCTGAAAAAAAGACAACTTTTATTGCAGGGCTTCGCGGGCCCCTAGGTTGCCTTCGCGGACCACAAAGGGCCCGCGGAACCCTATTTGAGAACCACTGCTCTGGAAGATTAAAGTCCCGCAGCCCGCTGTCTAAACAACTAACGATAAACTGGTTATTGTATTAACAGACCTAAATTTTTTTTAAAAAAAGACTAATGTGGTTTGTGCGGGAGAGTTATGCGTAGGGTGACCACCTTTCTGCTAGCGAAATGCGGGGCAGGGGGGGGGGGGGGGGGGGGGCGAAGGGGGGGGGGGGGGGGGGGTAGAGCAAATTTCCTAACACGCACACCACAACCCGAGGCTCTGTTAACACATTTAATATCGTCCGCTGTTTATACTCTCGCAAATTGTATAGCAGCAATTAAGTTCGAATAATTTTCACTCCCAGTGATACAATTTTTTAATGCTAAATGTGTTACTAATTGCGTCGAAGTTGGAAACATAAAAATCGACTGCAGCAGAACTAAAGGCATCAAATGTAAATAAGAAACAGGAAGTTTTTTTCGGGTTATTGTTTTCTGTCAACGCTTACTTTTACCAACATGGTCCTGCACAAATGTTTTAACATTATGGTCTTTTCGACCTTCGTGAGTTTCAGGCTTCTTGTCTTGAGTGGCTGTCTTCACTAAAGAACACTTCCACATTAACCCTTTCGCATTGATACAGCGATATGAAAAGAAGTACAATAATTTATATTTAAACTTTTGGCGAACAGTTTTTCCTTAGAATATTTTGCCACCAAGGGGACAGGCACAACGGCGCATGCGCGTCGGGTCTCCTGCAAGAACGGCAGTCGCTTCCCGCCATTCTTGTATATAAAATGGCGTATACCATTGCGATTCACACGATTACCAGCAACCTCCGCGCTTCCCCGTGCCCCGTTGTTCGGCAGCACCATGCGTTGCAGAGTAAATTGTACGACAGTGTGAAATGCGGGACATTCTGAAGATTGGGAAACTTCTGAACAAAAAGTGAGGGCGCAAACGAGCTGGTGTACATTGCACATGGTTGAAAAAAAACCGAGACTGCAGGTAAACGACACAACACTAAAAAGTCGCTAACACAGCTGAAATTTTTATTTTTCGAAATCTGGTTATATAACCAGACTTCGGAAAATAAAAATTTCAGCTGTGTTAGAAACTTTTTGTGTTGTGTCGTTTACCCGCAGTCTCGGGGTCTTTTCAACCATGGAAATTTCTCGCGGGACGCGGGACACGAGCCCTCAATGCGGGACAGTCCCGCGAGGGGTGGTCACCCTAGTTATGCGGCCAGAGGGACATAATACAGGTGGCCAATCTTAACAATAACTCGGCTAATTAACTAAAATTTATAATTTATCTTTTAAATTAGTGAAGTTAAACATATGGTTCTAATTAACAACTTGCTGAGCGTCATCGAAAACCATTATCTGGGTAAATTTTCGAGGTTTAGAGGCCGTGGAGCGGCTAAAGCATAGCCTCCTATTTACTGACAAAGCCTGGCAGGTTGCCACGAGAAGCGGCTGCCGAAATGGAAAGGGTGGAGCGGCAGACAACGGATGAGAGGAGAGCCACGTGACTGGCGCCCCGCTGCGGTGAGACGCCGAAACACACTTCTCCCGAGCGAACAAGAGTGTTTCGGGTCCTCGTCGCTGCAAAAGCTGTGCGCTGGCGTCTAGGTTCCCCGCTACCTCAGAGCTGGGTTCCCCGAGAAATGACTCTTTGATGCTATGCGCTACCAGATCCTCGCGCACCAAATCTGCGACTGGGCACTCTATGGCTCCGTCGTCAAACTGTGCAACAGACGCAAGGCTCGCGACCCGAAAACGTGCCAGCGTGGTTTTTCGGTCTTTCATCATCCGCGAGTTTGTACCGCCAGCATTGCGCCCTTGTCCGAGTGGTAACTTTGGCTCACCACCGCGCCCCAAATATTTCCGAAATTTACCTATATATTGTCACGTGCGTCACCGAACGAGTGCGTGCGTGGCCTAGTAGTTACAGTGCTTGCATGGCTTTCGAGGCCCCGGGATGGATTCAAGGGAGTGGAGCGTCTTTTATTTGTTCTTTCACTTTAGCGTTCTCGTAAGTTCGAGAGCCTTGTCGTCTGTTGGAGGTCACAACGTTCTATGCGCCGAATCTTCTACGGCGATTATCCCAAAAGCGCACGAGTGTACAAAAAGGGGCTCCACGTGGCGAGCCGAAGTCAGTCTCGCCCCAGCGTTCGATCCTGCTCTTTCGCCGCCATCAACGCCTGCGACGCTAGCCTTTTGTCTATTTTGTTTTGGGCACAATCGCCCCATTAAACATTTAGTTTGCTTCAGTTTTCGTCGCCTCATCAATTGTCCTTCGTGACAATATAGTGGTTTTGGATGACGCTCAGCATGTTTTCAATTGGAACCATATATGTGTATTTTCACTAATAAAAAGCTTAAAAGGAAACTGAGGCGGTTTTGTATTTGAAGAAAAATACCTATATAATCTTTATTTGGCCTTCAGAATCCCGAATATCGACACCATTTATCAAATTGGTGCACGGAGGCTGCAGACACCCTAGCATGGACTGACCGCGAAGGCTGTGCTAGCGCGAGCGGCCCCCTTTCGAAAGTCACGTGCCGATTATTAAAAGGCCGGAACCACTGCACAATGGTGGGAACAACCGCATCGAGAAACGTTCAAGTCATTCCATAAGATAGCTAAAGTCGGAGCGCATCCAATACTTCGAGCCGACGAGCCAATCAAAAAGCGTCAAAAGTGCAACGTCACTGCGCTCATCATCTTTTTCTGTGGGTGTGTTTTTTCCAGTGTGCCGTGACGTTGAAATTTTAGTTCGCCATTGTGCAGGAGTTCCAGAGCTGCCATAAGAGGGCAGTATTTCGAAAGGACCTTTGCAGAAAGAGCTCTCTGGCCGGCGCCATTTTGCGATTCGAGCGACCCCTATCAGCCAGAAATTTTTGTCGCCCGCCTGAGCTGTGGAAACCCGGTCAGCGCGACTCCTCCCTGCATCGTGCATTGGAGTTCGCCGGCGTTTCTTGAAAGTTTTTACTTTATTTCCCTATTCAGGATGCTTACTCTTTGTGTGTATCTTCCACTGTGAGAACCAGGGAACACCAGGGCTCGCAGTCTGCTCGGCCTTCGCAGGAAACGAACGAAGAAAACGAACGTCAAGTAGCCAGCGACGCGGGCCATTCGACATTCTTTGAGGATTATTTCCGTTGAGATAATCTCCGAAAAACCTTCCCGGCTATGTTCCCAGTCTTCGCGAAAAATAGCCCATATGGTCGGGTCCGGGGTGTGGGGACGGAATACACACGTTCGTTGATTTGCTTTGGTGCTGTGCAAAAGAAGCAGCTTTCTCGAAGACGCGCCCTATTACAAGCCGGACTCCGTCCGTTCGTCGTGAAGTGACTATCGTGGACACTGTATATTGGATATGCTGTGTTATTTAAAACCTTTCTCAAATCCTGTATATGAGACTCGCTGAATTTCATCTTATGAGCGGGGAATGCCCATACCATTAGGCTATTATTTGTGGTCAAATATTTTCGACAGTTAAGACCTTTGTAGATTGACACGGCTGAGTGTATGATGCCGTTAAAATATCAACGTAAAAAAAAAAAAACACGAAAAAAAAACGTTCCAGTGGCATTTGTTCTGTCACGGACAGACCCACCAAAACAGCTTTCATTTGTTTGTTTTTGTTCCCAAAAACAGTACAATGCGGTCTT